TATATACACATTTTAGGTAGGCAGGCCGCCGTTGCGACGTAGATGGCGGATCTTTGCCCAGCCTCAGTGCTGTTGATGAGACTAGGACAACAACGGAATTATAGCGATAAAAATGCCGTATCAAATTTGTGTGTATTAGTATAGGTTGTCCTGGCAAGGGCCTCAGCCCGATAGATAATTCCTTAAGGGTGAAATGATAGCAAACAGTAGTAGTGTGAGCCACCCAGCCAGCTTACGTGTTACTCAACTCAATGCAAGAGATGTTTCTGCCGTTGCTAGAGATCGCTCGCAATCCTTCAAGCCGTCCTTCCGGCCTGAACGGGCCACCGAGGCGACTGGCAACGGGACACGTGGCCTCCTGATCAAACACAAAGATCAGCAGGGGCTCGAAGCCCTATGTGTGTCGAACGGTTCCGAAGGCCAATGTTCAAATTTGCCCGGCCAGATGCAAATATCTAATAAACGCATCTTATTCTTATATCAGTAATTTGAAATATTAGATTACCGTTAGAGAGAAAATGAATAAAACAATTAATAGAAATTGTGTGTATATATACAAGCGATAAATGCACAACAACATGTTCGTTTGGTATACGCACGCCCTATCGAACAGGTACGTGTGGTTCATAGAATAATATTAACATATTACTTCTGATTGTCGTTTGTGTATGATGCAATATATATCTCGCTGCTTGTCCGTATCGTTGGTCATTCCCTTTTATTGAGGGTTGTCATTGGTAGCGTGTTACTGGCACAGACGGAGACCGCTATTCGATGCAAAAAAAGGCGCCAAAATTTTCATTTCGACACTAAGATGTCTACCCTGCTGAGGGTTTTCCATGCGGTGAGCTGGACCGTCTGAACCCAAACGCGCTTATGCTGTGCCAAAGTCTGCGTTTCATCCGAGCCACAGTCCGCTGCGCCGAACATTTTCTATAGAATGACTGGAACTACTGACAGAGCGCCTTTACGATACGGCAATTCCGATTCCATTGACAACGAATTCTCGAAAACGGAACGTATGTGCCACCGAGACCTTCTGTTTTAGGCCATGGGACATAGCTTGTAGACAGGATAGAAGCATTGTGATCCCATCAACATAGAGACGGTCAGGAGATCAGCGTCATTACCTGTACGTATCTAAAGCAAGTTTTAACCAACAAATGAGCGTTGAAAGATAGCAACGATACTTTAGTGAATGACGCCCTTTTAGTAACTAGCTCCGAAAACTAGTGATGTTAGAGAACAGCAGCATCGGTTGGCCGGCCGCTGATTAGCCTGGCATGTAGGCTGAAGATCAAATATAGCTTGGTAGGTAGGGGCCAAGCTATGTTTGATTAGCTATTGCAGGTGGCATACGGGCACGACCAGCTCATCCGGCCTTTGATCACAGAAGAAAGGTCAGTGAATCTGGAATAAATATTACTGACTGGGTACGGGGCCGAGCGCGTTTTTTTTCGATTATGTTTGGAGGTAAACTGACATGAAAAGAGAGGCAACTTCATATAGCCGGTGTGCGATAAAATGGAAAAAAAAACGCAGGATCCTGCAGATAATGAATGCAACTAGCCAAAAAAATGACTTCGGACATAGAGAATTAACGCCAATATGCCTAGTAGTCGCGTTCATTGAAGGAAAGGCAAGTACAATAGAACTGAAGAATGTTTCCAGACAGAAGTTACGCGCTTCGGCTGAGTGAAACCTGTTGGAAGATGTCGAAATAATTTCACCAGTGTAACTATCAATGCACTTACTGTACAAGCGTCTATCCTATAGTCAGAACAGAATGCGGTCCTTTTGTATTTGTTAAAATTTTCCGGATAAACGATGTTATGCAAGTCCGTATCTCGTCCTGTTTCAATTGTTATTCGACAGCTACATTGCTATGTGACGTGTTGAAATACCGAATGACTAGCTCATATAGTGTTCCGGATGCTTCTTCACTGTGTTCTCAAGTTAAAGCTACGCTTCAATACAAATCGTTGATTTGTAAGAACTTGAAAAACCACAGTTAATTAGTTAACTCATGTACACAAACGCGCACTCCTAGGATAGTGACAATCGACTATGACAAACCAATGCTAATATCTGTCTACGATGAAATTTTATCACAGTTTGTCCAAGTGTCCTGAATCATCGTTCTGTCGCCTGCACTAATTTCCGCCCATGTCGGCTATACTTACTTAGCGTATTGGATTTCGTTTCGAGGTGCCACCTTTGACATCTATCGTAAGTGACCTAACGGCAGGCGCCCGAGGAAGCTAATAGACCATTTTTGTCCAGTCCTTTCAATCAAAATTATTACTTCACCCAAGCTCAGGCCTAATCTGTGCTCGTTTCTTAACGATCGCTTTTCCCGATATTCCGCCGGTGCATTTACCTACGAGTGCGCCGGTTATCGGTGCTTCTTTTTATGAGTCAGCTCGATTAACGAGTTGTACGCCAAGCGATGAGTCGCGAGAGCGTCCACCTTTCTTCATCTGTGCAGTTCGTCATCGCACCGGTAATGTTTTCGCTAAAAGCTCTAGCTCAGTACGTACTATGACGGTGAGATATGCACTGTTTACGCGTAAAGCACGTTGATTTCGTGGTAGCTATATTCCATATTTTGCTCGCTGTAA